CACTGCTGAATGGTTGTCCGTATTCATCTAGCTAGTTCCTATAAAAACATATACATAATAATCCGAAGAGACCTATCCTTGACAGAACAAGCTGTGCAAGGCTGTGTGGATGGCATGAGGAACAAGAAGAAGAAGCTGAAGTCTGAAACCTGAATTTCATGGTGAGGAACTTATGCATGTATCAGCCTTATTTACTGCACTATCAGAGGTCATCTGTAATCCCATTGTCAGGATTTATGGTTAGCACAATTACTGTGCTATGCTAAGCACAGCCAGAGTAATCTCATTCCAGAAAATGAAGAGCTTGGAGAAAGACAGGCTTGCAGATGTCTAAAGCAGATTTGTTTTCTGCATGCCTTCAATTTTGCATCTGTTTGTTTTGATGACGCTTGGTAAAGACAAACCAACAGAGGAAATGAAAGCTATATATTCATGCTGCAGAACCAGACATGCTTCATTGTCAATAACAGAAAATCTTTTTCTTCTATTTGCAGAGGCATAATCCTCATATTTTCAAGTAATTTTTAAATCCTTTGGAGGGTTTTTTTAATTTGTGAACTGACATAAATGTAGCTGTCCAAATTAAATATACTCAAGCAACATGTTTACCTAGTGCTTTATGCTTATTATCTCCTAGAGTAGTAATTATTTATCTTGAAATGAGTTCTGCTTCTCCTGTTAAGAGTGGGAATAAGTGACATATCTCCTTATTACAGTTTATGTCTTGAGAGACATCAGTGATATCAGGTTATATTTTCCTTTTTTTTTTTCTTTTTTTTTTTTTAATGTGCTATTCTTCTAATAGATTAGGATATAAACACAATACTCATCTTTAATCTGAGGATCTGTTTGAACCAAATACCCAATGTTTACTCAATCTCATCTAATTATTAATTGCTTTGTGATGCAAACTGGTGTGTTGTATTTTAGATCCTGTAAGTATGAGATCATAAAAGAAATCCTCAAGGGACTTCTATAGCCATGCTATATTCAAATGGTTTGGTGGGGATTTTTCAGAAGAATGAAAAGATATAAAAGAATCCTTAATTTCTCCTGTAATGCTGTCTTTTCCGTCTTTCACTAGATCTTTGTAGATTACTGTACAGCTTTGCACTTGTGTCATCTTTATGGACCGTGGTTTGTTGTGGAATAGGTCTGTGTTAAATGAGATTAAGAGAGTTATCAGTCAGGTTTTATTTACTGAATTGCAATTGCTACTGTAGGATTAAAAGCAATATAGTGCAAGTTAGCATTTTGTTAATAATATTAAAAGTAGATAGTGTTTCGCTATTTAATGACATTAAGAGTTCCATATGACAAAATATTCCTTGAGAATCTGTATCATGAACCTGTCACACAGCTTTTTTAATTGCTACTATTTGATTATTTTTTTAACTTTCTTACATCAAGTTGATTGTCATACTCTGGTGTACTAGAATTAACAGAAATGGTTTTCTATTTAATGACTGACATTGACCACACTGAATTGTGCAGTCACTGCAGTGATATTATTACTCCCTTGGAGATTGCAGTTTGCCAAGCTGTCATGATTTTTGTTAAATGAACTGTGGATATAATAGTAGCAGAGATAAAACAACAGAATATAATACAGCTTGTACCTGTCTGCAGAAAGATATATCTTAGTTTTAAATAAAAGACAAACAATCTCCAAAGGCTGCATTTGCTTTTGTCCTTCATTGTTAGTAGTCAGTGGTGTATCACAGCCATGAAGTGCTAAGAAGAATAATTGCTATCTTAACTTGAAGAAAAATACTCTTTCTATTCCAAATATCTTCATGCGGCAGCTAGTCTGAAAGCAGTTAGTCACTGATGAAGCATATTTGATGGCACCAGAAGCAGGTTATTCAGTTTAGACTTTTCAGGCAAAGTAAATTTCTTGGGAATTTAGAGTGTAATAGCCTCGTTATAGCTTTTGGAAAGAGACAGCATGACTCATGAAGTTATTGGAGTATTTGGTAAAAGTTAATGAGCATATGCATTAGAAAGTCCAATTGCTTTGCAGTATTTGAAGTATAAGGATGTTTTCAGATGTTTCCTTGTAACTGATAAAAGGGAAAAAATTAATAAGTTTTCTTGTAGAATAATGTCTGATTAATAATAAAGAGAAAAGGACTGGCAAAATTGCCAATGTTAACAATGGAAGTAGCTTACTTGTTGAGTTATAGCAAAACCACTGCAGAAGTTCCAGCTGTTCAGTATCCTTCTAGAGGAGCTAGCTAGCTAAATGTTGATTTAAGAAATACACTTAGCATTAATAAAATGTACTGAAGAGTTTTTAAAAGATCTTGAAATACCAGTTGCTGTGGCTGTGAAACAGAAGATGAAAGTCAGTGTTGTCAAGTTCAGGTAAGACATCTCAAGAAGACAGTCCATTACTATATATGTTGGGGTATCTGATGTCTCAGGAAGTAGCTACAGGTGAGCTTCCTCAAGGCCCATCTGTCAGTCATGCGCCTAGAAATGTTTGTAATTTGTCAGCACTGCTTTGGTCGAAGAGTAGGGTTGCATTGCAAGTCTTATGGTTTGGACCTTAATCAAACTTAATCAAAAGTGTTCACCTAATGAGTATGATCTAATGTCATTCAGGGTGGGGGGTGGGAGGGAGGGGGAAGATCTAAAACCAGATCTTACTAATATAAACTTTTATATTACATTGTAAGAAATTATTTGGAAAATATTATCAACTCAAGTTATTATCTATCTCCAATTTCTTACTCATTTTGTTGGGATTGAGCTGAACAGAACTGAACAACAAACTATAGAGTATCGCTAACATGTTAGTTTACACTTTAAATACTCTTTAAAAGTAGTTCGCCTGGGGTTAACTCACTGTAAACTAATAAATATGGCAAACCAGGATTGGAACTGCAATTACAATTAGTAGCTTGTGTAGTGTAGTACCTATTCCCTGGTGGTAACAAGTTGCTTTGGATTTCAGAAGCAGTACTCCTGAAGCTAGGAGAAGGTAAACACTTTTACCATATATGGCCATAGCTGACAAAACACAGTAAGTGGCCTTGATAATTTGACTGCCTTCAATTTAGAAAATTCAGGTCTCTTGAAAGAAAATCACACATATTTCAAGTACTATTTATCGCATCTGAAGCATGAGAACAAACATTCATTCAGATCAGGACTTACACAGTTCTGCACCTTAAACAGAGGCTGTTGTGGGGAAAAAAAAAATAAAAAATAAAAAAAAATAGACATGTCATTTGCCAAATCTGGGACATCTATGGGAGACTTGAGAGTCTTAAAACCAAATAAGTGTTCTGTTTTTGAAAATTATCTGCCAAGGCTAGTTACTCTTCCTCCAGCCTGTTCAGAACTGTCTCTGATATATGCTGAGACCCTTTCCTCATGCATGCCATTTTCCCACTAGATCACTGAATCATGCTAGCAGAGCAAGCATGTGCCCTCATCCCTGTGCACCTTGTCAGAAAGAAGCAAAACAGAGCTGTATGTCCCACATCCATATTAGAATACCTACCATGCCTCTATGCTGCCTTTTTAAGCTCCTGTTACAGATCTCTCTAATGTTTCCTTAGATGTATAGTTTAAAATATTTATCAGTCCGTTAGGAGGGTTGGATTCAGGATGGTCCTATGTACACCTGCATGTGTTTCAGATATGTATGGGTGTGCTTTCTTTTTCATTGTGAAATGGAAAAAGTATTTTTATAAGTAAATATCAAAAACTTCTGAAAGTAAGCCATTTACGTTTGAAAATACAGATTTCCTTCTGGCTTGAAAACAGGAATGGCAGTTTATGAGCCATAGGAATTTTATGAGTTGATGAGAAGATTTCAAAAACAGAGCTACATTTAAATAGGTCTTTCAGTTTTTAAGTAACAGCTGATAACAATGAAAAATGACAGCTTCACAACAGACATTGTTTTGTTTTAATGCATTCTGTGGCGTGCTTGCCTGTGCTGGTGACAAGGAATTTGTTTTCTTCTGGCACTGCTGTGCATCTGGCACAGCAGCAGGAGAGGGAGCTGCATTTTGTTGTATTGTGTGTGGCACTTACAGAGCCATTAGTTAAGTGCTGATTGCACCAGCTTTGTTGTTGGGTGACACATGATGCAAAAAGGTAGAATAGGAGCTTTAAACTTGACAAGCTTAGTGGACTGTTAAAAATGTGGCTGGAATCATAGCACAGTTTGGTGCAAGTCAGTCATTAATTTCAGTGGGGCAAAGAGAACAAAACAAGTTTCTCATTTAAAAACTAATGCATTTGGAACTCACCTGTGGAGATTTTACTTTCTTCCTTCAGAGTACCAAAAAACCACAAAGCTTCCTGTAAATAAAGCAGCAATTCAGTTTGTATTTGGCTTCAGAAAACAACATATGCAAAAAAAATCCTGATTATAAGCGATTATATATACAAGTGTTTGAATAGTGGTGTTATGGATGAATTCTACTCATAAAATTGGAGCATTTGAACATTACAGTTAATTACATACTTTGTAGTTTGCTTATTAGATGTATAAAACCTTTAACTATTTTCATTGTAGATGAACAATACCATATTTCTAGATTCATATTTCTGGAGATGGCCGCAGTGATATGTTGAAGTGCATTGGCTAAATGCTGACTGCACAAGGAATATGAACTTTACTATAACTACAGAATTTTGAGTTTGCTTTTATCAACTATTTCAGTATTTGAATCTAAGAATAATTTTCTTCATGTTGGTATCTGTAGAACTGAAACAACTCTTCAGAGATAACAAACTTTTAAAAAAATTGAAATCTTTACCTACTTCATTATGTTTGTAATGGGAATATTATGTCCAAAATATTTGTGCACTTTTTTAGCCTTTATAGAAAGAAAATGCTGTTAAGTACTGTAAGTCTCTTCTCATACAGTATTTGACTTGTATTCTGAATCTATTTGTATGCTATTTGTAATTACAGCCATTTGGGACTCAGAAGAGTAAATAATAATTTCAGTTGCATACATTTCTTATTTCCACAGGATGCTCTGGCCCACTAGGGATAGAAGGAGGAATTGTGTCAAACCAACAAATTACTGCATCATCCACTCATCGAGCTCTCTTTGGACTCCAGAAATGGTATCCATACTATGCACGACTTAATAAGAAGGGTCTTGTGAATGCTTGGACTGCTGCAGAAAATGACAGATGGCCATGGATTCAGGTAACAGATGGAGCTGAGGAGAAAAAAATCTCCTTGATTCAGTTGCCAGAGTCACTTAAGGAATTGATGATGACAAGTGGTAATCTAACAGCTAGATTCTTTTTCACTATCAGAAATGTAGCCTAGACTAAAAGGGGCTATTTAGTTGCAAAAGAGGAATAATCTGAACTTTACAAATGCACAAATCTTTTTAATTTAAAAAGTGTGTGCATATGTTCCAATGTGACTCTAAGCCACAGAAGCAAATTTATAAAGAGCCTTTTCAAGGGAGCAGCTTTTCACTTATGCTACATTTATTCTTTAGGTTGTTAGTAGCATTTAGCAGTGATCTCTTGGTGGAGTTACTCTGACACACTCCTTGGGCATAATTCTAGACTGCTTTAATGCAGTCTTAGCTTTACCAGAGCCTTTGGGAATTGTTTGTGCTCCCTGCTGAGCTGTTCCATGCGTATAGGTTAAGCACTGTGTGCATCTTGCTGGAAGTAACAGGAACTGTTATAATTAAGGTTGAAATAGCTGTTTGAACATATCCACAGGACTGAAAGTACATATATTTTTTCAGTCCTGCTTAGGGATATTATGGTTAGAATGATTTAAATGGTGGTGCTCCACTTTACAGACTGGATTTCTTTGCTCACAGCAGTTGACTTTGGTAAAAGTCATGAAGCAGTTTGATACAAAGTCCTATAGTTGTATTTTAATGAAGATAATGATTATGTAGCGATAGTTGTTGGTCTTTACTTTTATGGTGTTTTTATTATATGAGAACTGGACTGAGCTTTACCATGTTCAGCTAGATCCTAACAAAAACAAAAAAAAAGTCACTAAAGCAAATATGTGAAGAGGGTGCTTTGCTCCCTCCCTCATACTGTGGGAATAGCAGAAGATAGTACTCAGCATCTTGTGCACTAGCCGTGAGTTGAGCTGTCTGTTAGTCTCTTAGTTGTGGCAGACACACTACTGTTGAACCTACCCTTGTGTGCACTGCAGAATTTTTGTTTACGTCTTCATGCTGACTTCAGGTTTTCCTGAGCAGTTCCCAGATGTTTTGGAAAAAAGCCTACAGGATTGCCTGTTCATTTTTCTTGTTTGGAGAACAGGCAGAAAGCACTGCTTGATGAAAGTCCTCTGGAGCTACTGTGAGAATGCCGGGTTCTGTCAGTTTAGAAAAATGAAGCTTGTGTTACTGTTTGTTATTCACTGCAGAGTGAAAACACAAACGTCCTTCAGTGTATCTTAAGTCAGTTTTCTTCTGACCAGAGGGGTTAGGAAGTTTGTGAAATTTATACATTAAAAAAGACCTGGAAAGAAAACACAAAAAGACTTAAGGAGAATTACGTGGAGTGGAAAGCTGTTGTAATTTGAATAGATAATGAAAAACATCCATTTTACAGTAGCTTTTGGGCTGCTTTTGAGCATGTGCTTTATTAAATATTCTGGAGAAAGAAGTCAGAGTCAGTTAGCATTCACCCCCTGAAAATGCCTTTAGTAGAAGATGAACTGGATGCATGCGGTCAGTGGTCAGTTAGTTCTGTGTTTGTACTCAATGAAGCCACACCACTTCATTGAGGGAGCCCTGAGACAGATGTGAAAATTCCTATCCAGACTGTAGTGTCATAGAATGGTTTGGATTGGAAGGAACATTTAAGATCATGTAGTTCCAATCCCCCTGCTATAAGCAGGGACACCTCCCACTAGAACAGGCTGTTCAAAGCCCCAGCTAGCCTGGATATGTCTTCCCTTCGATCTTACCTAGAAGGAAAGTTGGACTAATTGAGAAAATACACAAATCTCAGCCCAAGGCATTACATTTAGAAACTGCAGATTTTTTGAGTTAACGTCTCAATCTAAGTAGCACCAATCATCTTTGGGTTATTCTCTAATTTTGACAATTATAGTATGTAAAATCTGCTTACTAAAATCTAATTAACTGTTATAATTGATGTATAGTAAGCAGTATCATTCCTTTTTTTTCTCATATTTCCTTAAAAGTAAACTTTTGTTCACAATTATTGAGGCATTTGCCAATATTTTTACCGGAGTTCAGAACAAAAAGAAAAATACTCTTTGCGAAGAAAAATAAGTTTATATCTTGAGAGAATTGTTCTTTTCTTTTCTTTGCTTCTTGAAGCACGTGGGGTCAGCAAATCTTACTTTGGTACAGAGATGATACTTGTAGAGGAAAAGTAGTTCTGGAGAAAACTGATTTTGATTTGAGAAGGATAGAGTACCTCAGGAACTGACACTTAGGCACTGTGAAGTAGTCCTTTACACTAGAACGCTGTCTGATTCTTCAAGAATGCAGTACACACTAAAAGACAGGTACTGTCTGTCACCTTTAAGAGTGAACAGTTTCTGTTGAGAGAAGAAAAACCCAGAAATCCTATATATATATATATATATATATATATATATATATATATATATATATATATAAGTGTGGTCAGCATCTGTAATGGCCAGAGAGATGCTTCTTCAGTCAGAATACTCACATTTGTACCAAGTTTTTGGATATTTCTCCTTTGGTCTTGTGGAGTAACTGCTCCTATCAACCAGCTTCCTCCTGGGTCCTAATATGGAGGGTCTGCATTTGGGACCTTCTCCACATTGATCTGAGAGATGGAGCATCAGGTCCTGAGTATGGCTCTTGAGAAACAGCCTGAATGTATGACAGAGTGAGTTGAAACTTTTGAAACCAGAAATGCAATTTTAGGAGATGCAAATTAACATTTAGTGCAGTGAACCTGACACAGTAGCCTGTTACTCTACTACAATTTCCAATGCTAAATAAGTTCTAAAGGAAGCAGTTATATCCCACAGAGTATGATTATATATGGCCCTGCGCCTATTCTTACTTTGTTCCATTACCATTTTTCTATCATTTAATTTCTTTATTTATATGTAGCTTGACAAATGAAAGGCTTGAGTGCTTTACTTAAAACTTGCAAAGAGTGCAGATTATTTTTTTCTAATCCTTCAGGTGTCTGACACTCATGAACTAATTAGTATGCAGTTTTGTTTTCTGTATTCTCTAAATGAACTGAAAATTGAAATTGCCATTTTAAATTTACATTCTCTACATGTAATTAATAATGACACTACAATGCTTATAATTGGCTTGTGATTTAAGGGGTCAGTGACCATGCTTTTCAAAGAAAATTAAAGTCAGAGTAACTTGTATCTCCCTTTTAAAGTTCTGCTGATCTCTGTTTCCCTGCATAGGTTGACACAGATAAAATAACACTTGTGTGTACAGTTCACTGCTTTATGAGTGGCATTAACGTCTAATATTTTAGAATACAATGAGAAAAAAATTCTCATTGTCTTCCTGCATTTCCACAGTTTTATGTTTCCAGAATTATTCAATTTCTCAAAATGGTCACTTTGCCTGTTCTGGTTAAACTGTTTTTGTCAGAACTCTTTTCTTAAGAGAGTACTGTTTTTTCTTTACCCTTTTGTCCTTTTGCATTCATGTCTTTAAAATATGCTATTTCTCTTCATTCTGACTCTATCTCTACTCCTTCCTTCAATCTAGTTCATATCTTTGTTTTCCCTTCCGCACTGTTCACATATGAATTTTCCTAAGGCAGTACAGATCAGAATACAGATGGCCATGAACAGAACTGTTGATCATATTCTCTCTCTACCACGTGCAAAGTAATTTTAGATTTAGGGGAATGGACCAAGTCCTAAATTTTCACTCTGACTCTCACATACCTATCTTCAGTCATCCTTCTTTCCCCTTCTTCACTCATTTTCTCAGTTTTCGTCATTCTTCTTCCCATTCATGTCTATACTGTGCTCTGCTGTCCTGAAATAAAATTGTAATATTTTAGTAAGAAAAGCTAATCTCTGAAACAAGGCTGGAAACAAGATGTTCTATATTTAGCTAAATATGCAAAGACTTCAGCCATAACGGACATGCAGAAAATATATAAAATGGAGTGCCATAAAGAACACTGTAAGAGAGGTAGAAAAATTTGGTATTACTAGCAATATAAGGAATAGTGTACAGTACCAAAATTATTAAATTGTGCAGTTAAGATGTATGAGTAACTCTGGAGAAAGAGTGCATCTGAAAAACCATGCTCACAGATGAGAAAGGGAAGTGGGTAAATATTACCCCATAATATAAGAACGTTGTTTCTTCAGACATCTACAGTAGTTATGATCTTTCTGTCCTATTAAATATATATATATATCTATAAATATATATATGTATAAGTGCAATGGATTACAGATCAACTTATTTAAAGCTTAATTGGCCCAAGAATAGTAAGCCTTACACCACCTGTATCGGGGAACCTGAACTGGGGAGGGAGCTCACAGCAGAACTCCAGCGGTTTCTACCACTGTATTACAGATCATGCTGAGATTTGTTGGATGCTAAGTCATAGAGAACATTAAGAACATCCTCAGAAGTGTGTGCCAGAATTAGAACAAAGTAAGATGGTGCATGAAGGCATGCAAGAAATGGGTGAAAAGAGTAGGGTGAAAGGTACCATATTTAAGATCAGACAGTAAAAGTCTGAGTGTACAGTGAAGTTTTAACTAAGGGAAACATGGGGTAAATTTAATTTCCTGGCGCTAGCTGAGGCTGCTCAATTAGACAAGGAGTGGAAAAGATCAGTACCTGCTGGTGACCATGTAATTGCTGCTGTTCCATGGTGACTGACAACATCTGAGAACAAGAGATGCTGAAATTGTACTTCGCTCCGGAATGTGATTGAGAAGATATCTGTGAGGAGCAAGCCTGATAATAGCAGCAATTGTGGCATATATGAGAGGTTATCACCATTTTTTTCTTCTAAGTGTTCTGGGGCTTTTGGACATGGAAATTGTTTTTATATAATCAGTATTTATTAATCCACAGGCGCAGAGAGCAGATTTGAGCATACGCTATAGTCAGAGAATACTAAGAAAATGAACTAAGTACTGTGGTTGAGGGCCTGATGATTGTTGTATATAGGAGGTTAAATTGAAGAATAAAAAAGTATTTA